ATTGTGCGGCGTTGGAAATCGCGTACGGTAAATCGAAAATCCCCCCTGTTCTGCACTTTATTGCCAGCTGCGCCCCGCCGCTTGTTTATAATTTTCAATAATGTATTACTTGTGCAGCAGCGGACGGCCGCCGCGCGCGCGGCCGTTGATAAATTGGTGGCAATGAAGCAATGTATTTTCACTGCTCGATAGCAGTCCCTTCAATCGTGAGAATTATTAATCCGCCGCGTATTTGTAACGCGGCAACAAAGCGGCCCCGGCGCCCGATCAAAGTTCCGCGTCGCGCTTAATTAATAAGCACAAAAAGGGAAAAACGAGGAAAAATGTATATATATATATATATATATCTATGTGTGTGTGTACATATATACACACACACACACACACACACATCGCGGCACAACGAGAAATCGTTCTGAAATTGCCTCGAACCCACCGGTTCGTTAAAGTTCTAGGCCTTTTCGAAGAGCATATCCGAACATTTTCGCACGTTATTTCGCCGTTTGTTCACCTTATGTAAAGCACGAGCGCGAAAAAAAAGCCACGCGCGGTGGTGGAAAGCGGGAGGTGGAGAAACGCAAATCGCGGTCGTTTCTAATCCCGCCGATTATCAAGCGTACTGCGCCTCGCGGTTAAACATGTATAATCTCAGGGTGACTCTAAGTGTGTACCGCGAAACGCTAATTAATGCTCCGGTTCTTGTTAAAAAGTGAAATAGTACGGCCGAAGGCCCGGGAAACGGGAAGGATAGCGCGGCGACTGCTAATGAATATGTAATTCGGTCGAGGAGCGACATAAAAATCAGCGTAAAAATGCAGAAAAAAGAAAAAACAAAAGAGGAAGAAGGGAGAAGAAAAAAGTAAATCGATTGAAGAGCGTCCGGCGCGCCATTTCGACAAAAACATCTCGCACTATTGCGTAATAATACTCAGTCCGCTTCGATAAGGAGCGCGATGACCATCGTTGCGTTGTGTAAACAAACGCCGGCGCGAAACCAGCAGCAACGGCGGTCGCGCGGCTGTAACACGCGCGCACTTTCGTTCGCTTCCTTTTTCTGTTCTCCGTCGAGTCGCGCGATACCGCAATCGCGACAAACAATCGTCTCATTCCCCGCTCGATTTCGACCGTTTTTAACGGCGCTTTTTCGCGCGCATCCCGACCGTGGAAAATATAACCGCGCCGTTAAAAAGTGCCGCGCGGTTAAATAACGCCCGGTACCGGGCATTTCCGTTACCAGTTTGTGAATAAAAATCAAAATACGTCGAGTGTGTACGCGCGCGCGAACGCACGCGTAAGTGTTCAATAAAATTCGATTCGCGTCGGCCCGGGTCGGCCGTGTCCGAATATCCGATGTGTGTTTGATAAACGAACAAAACACTCGAAGCGTCACGGTTCACTGGCGCTTTCGTTCGGTAATACGACGGCGAAATTTCGCCGGATGGGATCCACCGATTTCCTGAAATGCATTAACGCGCGCGCGCGCGCGCAAAACTATATGTCCGCCCGCCGAATTTCTCGCGCCATCTCGGCGATTTATTTCGCCGTTTCGAAAGCACGTCCGATACACACGCGTCTGTAATCGTGGGGCGGTATCGAAACACCGCCGCGATACGTATCGGCGCGAGAACAGCGCGGCGAATATTTTGAAATAACGAGCGAGAGTGAGAGAAAAGAGAGGGAAAAGAGGTAACTGGAGCGCTCGCGAATCCGCTGTAAGAGCGCGCGATATATCATTATCGACTTAGCGCGCTTCTCGTGGCTTTATTCTCTAACATTATATCCGCATCGCTGCCTCTACTTTGCGCCGGGCGCAAACACACATTGCGTTTAAACGCGAACAAATAACAAGTCGTGCGCAAAATAAATTCCTCTGTTCGCCGCGTCACGTGTAATTGTTTCGCCTCCTGTTACGCGTTGCGTCTTTCACAGCTCCCGAATGAAACCTCCATTTAGTTCAAACAGACACGCGGCTCTGCTTATCGTGCGCGCGCTCGCGTGTATATTTGTATATACATGTATACACACACACATGTGTGTGTGTGTGTGTGTGTGTGTGTGTATAAAAGAATAGATCTACGTATTTACCGGTGAGAAATATGAAAAAAAAAGGCAGGTAGATAAAAACAACGCGGCTGAGCGGCACGCATTGTTATATTTTGCTGTTTTATTGTAACACATGTTTAACGAGTGTGTAAATTATTGTAACGACCACAATTTGAGATACGCGTCACCGTCGTGAGCGTGATTCGTAAAAATGTTAAACAATACCGCGCTGTTTTTGCAATTCTGCTCTTTACGCTCTTTATGATCGTCGTCGTTAAAACTTCGTCAGCGAACGCGGCCATATTTATATAAACAACAAATGAAAAAAATGCGTTTGGGGGGGGGGGGGGGAAANAGTGTCGTCGTACGTGCGAAACATGTGTGAGTGAAACCGCGCAAGGTGGCGGTGGTGGTGTAATAAGTAATTGAAACGTTAGATAAACGTAATTTATTCATTGCGCGTAACATTTTCGCGTATCCGTCGAAAGTTCTCGATCTAACTTCGAGATACCACATTCACGGCGTGTTGATGGTGGTTTAATTTTTTGCAAGGACAAGGATAGGTTCTCGACGATGTTTCTTAAAATAGCGTTTATCGGGCGACTAAAGCGCTTCCGTTAACACGAGACAGTTTAAACTTAAGAAAGTCTTTATTGCGTTAAAGCGAACTGAACTATGAAACTCGCGCGGAAACTCCGATGAGTGGCAGCTGATATCGTCACTGATTGATTTTGAGAAACAAACAGCTTGCAAATGCATCTCACGAGAGCAATTACATCTCACAATCGAATTTCAAATTAATCGACGCATTATAAACGCAGATAAATCAAACCGCCAGTTCTCTATTCTCCCCTCTCTCTCTCTCTCTATTTTTTTCACACACTTATGATTGATTAACTCTCGACTGACACGAGATCTCATTGATAAAAGATAAAAACACGCATAATAAGGCCTATCTTTGTTTATGCATTTAATTATTGAATAATTAATGTGCGCAAAAAACGAATGATATCGGAGATCACAGTTAGGATATAGTAATTTTCCGAGCTGAGAATTAAGACTCGCGGTAGATTTGCAGCGCAGTTAACAATCATGAAGCCATTACACGGTAACAGGTTTCCCATTTTTTTCCCCGTTTACTCCGATGGTAATTGATTGAAAAGGAAAGGGAATACCGGGAGCCGTATCTATGTCATTAACTGTTAACTGCATCATTACTCATAACATTTATGGACGGTGATTTACGTTAATCATTCTCACTAACTCGACATTACCACGAACGATGTGTCGTTTCACGGTTCTGATACAATTTCTCCGCTCGCGCGAATCTCCGCGACTCCCTTCGCGAATAAAAAAAATGCGCGAGTGGCTCTGGATTTTCGTACGGCTCCGAGAACTTCGAGAAAGTTTCTCTCGGGAAATCGTCATATTATCGCAATTACATTGCAGTAATGCACGCTCAGCGTTGAATTACTCGAGAATGCTCCGCGGCGACTCGATTAAGACGACAGGATTTGTCATGCGGAAGCAATTCGAAGCGGTGAGGCTGATAAATAAATGTAACTGAATTCCAACTGCGGCTTAAATTCCCCCGTTCCTACGTACGCGAGAAAAAAAGAAGAGAGATTGAAAAGGAGAAAAAAAAAGCAAAAAGCAATTCCGTTGGTGTAACTGGATTTTCCGTTGCCTGGGGACCAGCTGAAAATTCGGTTGTAGGAACGGAGATTCCTGCAGGAGATTTCAGTCAATTTTTCCTATTTGTCTCGACCGAGTTTTAATGCAGCTGAACGTTCACACGAGTGTGTTCAGGTAACACAGAAATATCACTGGTTGTCGCCGAGTTTGCGTTTCTTGCACGGAAGAAAAAAGGAAACGTTCGGTTGAATGTTCCGCCGGACAAAATGAACAAGCCAAACGCGTTTTGATCGAAGGAAACAGAGTTTTCCGCTTCTTGTGACTCAAATTTCATTCCTTTAACCCAGAAATTCTGTGTCCCCCAGCCAAAACGCGGTTTGATTCGCTCGCTGTTCGGCAAAATTCAACCGAACTTTATCCCGTGCGTCACCGAGTCGTCACCCCGTTCTGTTGCAACAACGTGAGTTCTTTTTTTCCGTGTAGTCGCGGAAATCGCTGGGTGTCGTCGTTCGGAAATTGTCAAATGAGACAATCAACGACACGTGAACATCGCGTCGGGATGCTGTTTTCCGGAAAAAAAAAAAAAAACCCCGCGTTTCCTCGGTCCGCGAGAGTAACGTCCGTAGCTATTCGCGATTCTCCGAGACGCGTTTCTCAAGTCGTGCGTGAGGGAGGAGAACGAAGTCGATGAAGTTCCCAGCTCGGAGCTGGGTCAGGTAGAGGGAAAAGGTGGCCACCGGCACGG